GTGGCTGGGCAGCCTGGGAGCGGCAGAGGCGAGCGCGAGCCGGCGTTGCAGGGGCCAGGGGTCGCCCGCAGGGGGCGGCCGTCTCTGAGCCGCGCTAAACTGCACGGGCTGCGGCACATGTGCGCCGGGCGCACGGCGGCGGGGGGCTCTTTCCAGCGGCGGGCGCTGTGGGTGCTGGCCTTCTGCACGTCCCTCGGCTTGCTACTGTCCTGGTCCTCCAACCGCCTGCTCTACTGGCTCAGCTTCCCGTCGCACACGCGAGTGCACCGCGAGTGGAGCCGCCAGCTGCCCTTCCCCGCCGTCACCGTGTGCAACAACAACCCGCTGCGCTTCCCGCGCCTCTCCAAGGGGGACCTCTACTACGCCGGCCACTGGCTCGGGCTACTGCTGCCCAACCGCACCGCGCGCCCGCTGGTTAGCGAGCTGCTGCGAGGCGACGAGCCGCGCCGCCAGTGGTTCCGCAAGCTGGCCGACTTCCGCCTCTTCCTGCCGCCGCGCCACTTCGAGGGCATCAGCGCCGCCTTCATGGACCGCCTGGGACACCAGCTGGAGGACATGCTGCTCTCCTGCAAGTACCGCGGCGAGCTGTGCGGCCCGCACAATTTCTCCTCCGTGAGTTCCCTCCGCGCGAGCCCGTTCCCTGTGTTCCCCTCGGCCCCCACTCTGCCGAGCCAAGAGGCTAGCCTTTCCCTCCCCTCGAGGTTGGTCGCGTAGTGGGTCACCACTCCCTTGAGACCAAGGCGGAACCCACTCTTGGGTCCCAGGTTCTGGGAAGTTGGGCACAACTGTTGGGGAAGTAGCTTCACCCAAGCCCCAGGTCCCCTGGGCCAGAGAGACCCGCCTCTCTCCTCCAGTGCCCGCCCCCAAGTCCTCGACTCCGCTTCTTAAGTCCTCCTGGTGAGTCCTAGTCTTTCGCCGCACCACCCCTCCCCTCACCCACGCCCCGGGTCTAGAAGAGTCCAAGCGCCTGTCCTGTTGCCTGGGGTAAAAGGACTGAAAAAGAGCCAAGCAGGAGAAGGAAGCGTGTCTCAAGTGCGGATGTGTTGTCTTTGGGAAAACCAATAGGAAGCTTCGGTAACGGGCATGCAGAGGAATAGCGCAGAGACCCTAAGCAGGCTTCGGGCTTTGAAGTTCCAACACATACTCCAGGGGACTTAAGGAGGAAACCCTCCCCCATCAGAATGTTAACCTACACTAGAGCTGCAGCCAGTTCGAAGGGGAAACAGCAACCCCTTCTGCTAGCTTTTAAAAGCACTTGAGTGTTGAACATCCAGAGGAACTGAGCAGGTGGTGGGCCCAAGTGGCCCCTAGTGGGGTAGGAGACCTGCCCTCCTTCTCCAGCAAGGAGGTGTGAGTGTGGGTCTGGAGTGGTGCCCTGCCTGCAGAGGGCAAAGCAGCGAGGCAGAAACGTTGATGTGAACAACCAAGTGGGAGAAGCTGTGCTCAGGGTTTGTAAACCGTTTGCTGTGCTGGTTCCGCCATGCTGTGGGTCTGGATAACGCAGCTGTTGGACAGAAGGTGCAACAAGGTGCTTGGTACAGTCTGCCTAGGAGGAGCTCTGGTGCCAGGCCCCATCATGGCGTGAACTTCTTCAGCTGTTTGTGTGTGTGTTCCCCACAGGTGGGCTTGGGCTTTTCTGCTAGTGCAGGGAAGGTTGATGTGTGTGTATTTGTAGCGTTTTGATGGTGGTTTCGTCAGCCTGCATTCACCACTCTCGCAGCCTCGAGTCTGACAAAGCTTTTCTCTGATGATAAAGAGATGTCACCATTCCAACAGGTGTTGGCATGGAGGCCAGTAAGTCAAGGCCTCTGATTGGCTGATTGTGTCTAGGATTGTGAACTGGCTCCTATCTTGCCCTCCTTGCTTTGCTTTAAGTCCAAATGTACAGTAGGAGCTCTGGTAGCATAGTGCCTAAGGCATTTGACTGCTAACCAGAAGGCTGGAGGTTCAAACCCACCAGCCACTCCTCGGAAGGAAGAGTGGAAACCCAATGAGGGGTCGCAATGAGTCGGATCCAACTTGATGGCACTGAGTTTGGTTTTTGGTAGAGTAGCCCTGAATTATCTATTTCTAAAATATTTTCTTGTTTTCTGGGCTTTTCAGCTTGCCTTTAAATATTTTCTAATGGCTCCCCCTGACCTGGGAAACAGGAGATGTCATTAATACATGCTTCTAAGTGGCATCTTTGAGAACTTGAACACAATTCTGAGTTCCACAGATGAAGGAATGAGAGTAGTGACTCCTTGATGTTTACCAGCAGCAGCCCCAAAGTTAGATTCAAGTTCAGTCTTATATTCACATGTCAGCAGCCTATAATTTCAGCATTGCACAACACAACCCACCAAATGTGATTCTGAACATCTGACAATTTGCTTTTCAAAACCTATGGAATTGCTCTCTAACAGCCATTATTCATGTTTGACAGTCATCACAACCTTATGTTAGGAATTAGTTTTCTCCCCATTTTAAAGGTGAGAAATAAGAGGCTCCAAAAACTTGTCCAAATGAGCAAGTCCAAAGTCCAATGTTTTGTCCCACCAAATGCATGTAACCCTTCTTCTCCAACCTTGGACCACTCTTCTCTCAGAGGATTCCTCGATAGGATCCTTGCTCCTTACCCCAGGAACTTCTAGGAGCATGACTGGGAATGTGGGAAGTACAGCCAGCCTCTGGTAGTCCAAGTAGCCTTACCCCCCTGTTACTAGGGCCTAACGTGACTTCAGGAGCCACCTGACTTCAGCCTCCCAGGTGGGCATGACCATCATTTATGGGGGTCAGTGGCTAAGGAATAGAGGAGAGCAGAATCTGTCTGGAATGTCATTACATTTGGGGAAATCCGTAAGACAAATCCCAGTACTCTGATTTCCCTCAGCTCACACCTACATGCCCTTTTGGGCACACCTGTCTCTTATTTCCTGCACCATGCCTTTCTACATCTGAAGAGTTTGCAGGCACACACCCATCCAAGCAAAAGTATTACCTCCATTCTCCAAAGCTGTGTGTTCCTAAGAACCTGAAAATGACCTCTCTCCAAAAAGACCAAGCTCACTGCCATCAGGTCAGTTCCAACTCATAGCAACCCCCATTGGGTTTCCAAGGCTGTAAATCTGTACAGAAGCAGACTGCTTCATCTTCCTTCTGTGGAGCAGCTGGTAGGGTTCAAACCACTGACCTTTTGGAGAGAAGTGCAGTGCCTTAACCACTGCACCACTAGAACTCCTTTTTTAAAGTGACCCCTAGTGGCTTCTTATCATGGCTCTGTTCTGGAAGTTTCCAGTCCCTTAAGATTGCACACTAAATTTTTTTGAAGTGTCTCAGAACTAAAGGGTACACTCTTCTATTTGTGTGGAAGCAGAAGCCATTTCAGGTAAGCCCCCAGTACAAAGCAGTTCCATCAAGAATATTCTCCTCTTAAAAAAAAAAAAAAA